TTTTTGTGGCACTGGCGCTAATTGAAGGTGGCGCTTAACTGAAGACAAATACGGTACTTTGAATAAAGCTGGAAATTATGTCCCTTAAAATAATTAAACAAATAAGGCACCAATGTTTTTGTAAGATATTTACATCTTTAAAGGACATTCGGTAGACTGATTCCCCACTGTTAGTTCAACCCCAAAACTTTTTTTGTATTAAAAATTAATTATGACAATGTATATTTATATTGAAACAAACTATGTTAAAGGGAATTATATTATATAACAAAGGGCAAGGTCACCAGAGTTCAACTATGTTTCATGAAAATAGCTGCAACAATTGTACACAATCCTTAATTTCCTGCTTCCTAATAGCTTTTTGGTGTGCTGGTAATTTGCATACCACATGTCAACAGTAAAAAAAATGGCTGCCGTAAGGAAATATCCATTTCAGTCAGCCTTCTTAGTGATTTATTTTTCCACACCTAACACTCAGGTTAATTGTGTTTTGCTAAACATTCCGTTTTTTATCAGTATGTGAATATAGGCGATTATGAAAATGTTTTGATATACCTGTAAACTTAGTTTATGTCTTATCGTTGACGTTGACCGGTGGTGCTTAGTCATTATTGCCAGGAATTCCGGCCTAGTGTGTTGTCATGTCTGTTTGTTTTCAACTTTTGCACGCAACACAAACCAAGCTGTCAGTGCTGTCTTTTTTTTTTAGTTCGGTGAATATGCATAACAGGTTGACAATAAAAGTTGAAATTGAATCAGTCAAGGTGGGATGTCTTCAGGCAAGAGTATTGAGTAAATCAAAATAGCAAACATACCACCCTAAAATGCTTTTGAGAGAACACTGCATCCAACATGGTTAAGGCAGTTTAGCTATTTTGAATGATTTGTCATCTCGCAAATAATTCACACATACCAGTAACTCCACATTTTCAAAATAATAACTTTATGATTTGCAATTTCTAATAATTACATTTTCTTTGTGTTTTTGTATAGGTTTGAATGGTGCAATGGCAAACATTAGTGTAGATAGTACTTCTACATCTACAAATGCTCAGGGCAATGTACACTTTGGAAGGCGGCGCCATGGTGGTTTTCCAGATATTAACCCAGAAGAACTGTTTAATGTATCGGACACTAGAAAAAGAAACTCTGTTGTATCTTCAGACGTTCTAATGGACTCTCCACCCCATAAACGTAGCAGATTCTTATAGTAAAACAATCAGGCTCTTACCTCAACATGGTATTACATACTTGGGAATTGGACATTTTGTTTTTGTTTATTTTTGAAAAGTATAATGTGCCAACAGAAGAGAAGGCATTCATTCATTCACTCACAAGAAGCCATTCTATATATATTGTCTCAATAGCTTGCCAAGATTTTGCTTTTTCTTGGATAGTCTGACTGTAATGTATGCTGTTACATTTGTATGTTAGATGGGAAAAAGAGGGCTTCTAAAAGAAACCTCTTATACTGGGCTTTTTGCTAGCACAACTAAATCGATTGCTTATAATATTATTAAATGTAATAAATTTTCTGTTTAAAGTTTCATATTTTCTGGTTTTATTCACACTGTTTCAACACATTTACCACCTGTGTGCCCAACTACAAAGACTCTTCTGGGATATTAAATCCGACTCAACATTAAATGTTGAGGCTCTCTGCAGACAAATATTTCATCTCGTACAGAACTTTATATTCCAGAAAAGTTGGAAGGCTTTATCTGTTTTCAAACCCACTGTCCCAAACCATGTATAGATATGTATTTTGTTGAAATTCTCGTCCAGTTAAACATTTTGCACAAAATTCAGAGTGAGAACGGTACAGTACAGTATGCTTTAAAAATCGAGTGAATGTGTGCAAGTGTTTGTGGTGATTGTTCTTGTGAAATTTTCATGCTGAAATAAAAGTATCCCCGGTAAATAGGACGTATACACAAAATCTACATAATGATTTACTTGTGAATATTTATGATTTAATGAGGATAATCTGACATTGATTTCTAGATAGCTCTATTTGTTGGATCCTCTGTTTTATGAGCTTAGTTTTCAAACCCAAACTTTGTGGTTTCTTAACACAATAAAACATTGTCAGTTTGTTCCATAAATACCTAAAGAATCAAACATTGCTATGAGACTTAGTATAAAGATTATCTTGGACAATGCACAGACCTGATTAGTTTTGGGTTGAAATCCATTCATAATGAGATATTATTAACACATCTAATTAACATGCATTAATAATAGTGACTTAAAACTTGCAGATATGCATGAGCAACCAATGCTATAATGAAGGCCTTGAACAAGATATCTGGTCATGTTACCTCATGACTAAATTGCTAAGTAGACTAACATTCACTCATGAATTCGATACATGGTTTAGAATAGGAACATCTGGAGTGTTTTGGGGTCCAGTAAAGCAATGCACAATGTTACGGCAAGTGAAAAGTTGAATTTATACAGTTACTTGTATGTTGTAAAAGTTCGGGAAATAGTTAACCTTTATCATAATGGCATGGCAACACTTAGTGGATGCATTGTTGGCTATTTTCATAAAATTGTTATGGTATCACGACTAACAGCTTGTCTGAATGTATATTTTTAGGCTCCATTGTAATCAAGAATGACAGAGTAAAGCTGTTCATATACCAATAAGTGATTGTCGTCATTTCTATTTTAGACTTCTTGAAAACTACCAGTTCAATTTTTTTTGATACTTGGTATGTTCATTACATGGCGATATCTTCAATTTTTCATTTTTTGGCGAATATTTTTGTAATTTTTGATAAAAAATATTTTCAATTTCTTCTTGAAAACTACCAGCCTATATTGCTTTCATACTTAATATGTAGGTACCTTGCGTGGACCTCTGTCAGATTTGTTCTTTTCGTGGTGATATCTTCAATTCTCCATTTTTGGCAAATATTTTTGTAACTTTTGGTTAACATTGATATTTTCAAATTCTTCTTGAACACTACCAACCTGATAGCTTTGATATTTAAGGTGTACATTATTTTTGTGAACAATTTGTTTGATAAAGTTCACATGTTCTCAACCAAACTACCATTTTGTTGGTTAATCACATTTAGTCTTATGGGTGTGCATTGCTACCACAATAGGACAGCAGAGCTATTTCAATGGTCAGGACGCTTGTTTTTTTTTTATAAAATGGTTTCTTTATGGGAAATGTCTAATAGTTTTGTGGATATTTTGTTATTTCTGCATTTGAGAGTAACCATTGGAAACTTTTGTGGGTGGTTTTTGAAAAAAACATACTGCACAGAGAAAATTTTAAAACAAATTTTACAGGAATATATCACGTATAACCCAAAAATAGTTGGAGGAAAAAAAATAATATAATTGACAGCAAAATCCCACAAAAAAAATAATAATTTGCACCCCCCCCCAACGAGATTTCTAATGGTGAACACCACTATCTACTGGAAGATAGTTTCAAGAACTTCAAGTTCACGAGTGAATAATCAACCCACTGAGTTTTGTTACGACATAATTTTATTAGTCAGGTACCTGCATCAGGAATAAAAACTTGCATAAATGCACATACATGCATTACAAGACTAAAACCTGATGTAAGAAATAAAAATAAAGGCAAATAAAACTGACAAAATAGAAGGAAAATGGCATTTACTCAGATAAAAAACAAATCATTGAGTTTGATTTGATTCATAACTAAGTTTAAACAACATTACAATCAGTATTTGCTGTATTAAAAAACACACATAAACCAAAAATGCATTTAATATATATTGGATCATTAAAAATATTGTTTATTTTGTTCCTAGTCACACCTGTTATTTCATTTGAGCACAAATTGTATTCAGCAATACTTATATATTTAAAAAGCTGATTTGCTGCTTGTCACCAATTAATTTTTGTTAATTGGCCTTGAGTAATATCAATGAAGTATTTAGAGCTATAATTAGATTTATGAATAATATAGAGATAAGGGTTGGTGACATTTATAAAGAAAAAGAAGATCTCATTGAAATGCCACAATGTGACCTCGAAAATAGCAGGGTTATGCGCATTACCAAAATGCATCGCAGTGTCATATGGACACTCATCAGCAGACTGGGATAGGATTATTTCTGGGAACATAAATGTGCAAGGTTATCAGACATGTAATTCTATTCAAGAAGGTAAACACAGGCAGTAAAAATATGCAATGACTTTGGATAAACAACCAAAGATGCCCTAACCTTTAGTGTGTCAGCCTTTGACCAGTCAATCATTTGATTTATTTCATTAACGACATTATGTAAAGAAACTGTATACTAGTACATGTAATAGCGTATACGCATACATAAATGATAGATTAGTCTATGGACAGAATAGGTCATATTTTAATAATTCAGCATACAATAAATTGCATTTATTGGTTATGTACTGTTACTATGGTTGTATGTTATGTATCTATTGGAGATAAGACTCATGGCTTACTACAGTTCGTCAGGTAAAATCTATAAATCTCCTTTGACAAATATGCCTAGTCCTAGCATTCTACAGGTAAAAGTGATATCGTTTGAATAAAATACATTTTTCACAAAAATTGAGGGCACTGTACATATACCGGTAACACTTCTGCATTGGGAAACACCGTGAATATCTTTATATTCACTTGAGATGAATTGCCAAAAATAACCTGATTTATTGGTAATTTCCTTACACTGTCAATATTACATTCATTCATTTTGTTTAGGTAATTTATCTAAAAAGAGAGTTGCTCAGTGACATGAACTGAATATGTTGTATACATGTACGATATTATTGATATGAATGGTAAGTTTTCATTGAGTATATTTGTTCATAGCACTCCAGGTATACTCAATTTCCAGTCCATCTTTGGTTCCACTGTACATCGCCTTGCAGTGTGTATGCTGCCCTCAATGGTATTTGATGGAACATTGATTGGGGTGCAGCAACAAATCTAACTTTGTGATGCAAAAATTGAATTCGACTCAAGCTTCCAGGTTAATCAATAATCGGAATCACCACATTTTTACATTCTTTATTTGCATCCACTTGTATTAATGTCAGGGGTGCATTTTTCTATGGTTAAATTTAAGTCATACAATAAAAGTAATTTTAGGTTTGTCTGCTTGTAATAGAGCAAATGCGTTTATATGCCCATGATCACACAAATATTGGATAACAAACATAAAATCAGGGTTAGACTGGGACACTCACTAATTTTGTTGTGAAAAATGTTGGCCACTTCGTATTCGAGTCAATATTAGGCGAATACCTTTTTCATACATTTTACATTCAAATCGGTGAAAATAAATTCCATACGAAACACCCAAAAAAGTCTTTTCAGCGAAAATGCTAGCAAAAATAAAGTGTCTCACAATTATTTTGTGTCTAAATGTGGTGTAATTAATTTGCAGCAACTCGTGCTACTCTTCAGGTGTTGGTGATAGCTTGACAGATTGTGACAACTAAATATTATTGATCTTTTACTATATACCTTCCTTTATCAGTAATCTAAATGATAAAGTCTTATCAATAAAAAGGATGCAAAGTCAACATTTGTACACTTTCATCGCAAGCGATATTGAAGTTGAGTCCACTGTACAAAATATCGATGGAATCACTGAAATTAACAATACACTCTTGCAAGAACAAGAAACGTAGTTAAACTCTGGTGACTTTGCCCTATGTTGTATGATATTATTTCCATTATCATAGTTTGTTTTATTATGAATACTGATGAATTAGGTGACCAAGTTTGGAATAAAATTAGTGAAGTTACTATGCACACAATTATTACCAGACATTTTTTCCTTGCCATCTTTGAATTCTTTCAATAAAATTAGTTCAGTTCATTTAATTTTCAAATTCAGGAGTTGCGAATTTGCTGCCAACAATCTAAGTTGTACTCTCCATGCATAATATTAATATGTAAATTAGTAATTCTCACTTTTTAGCATCAGGCATGTCTGAAATTTGAGCTTGGCTAAGTGTTTTAAACTTTAGAGGTGAATGAGAGTTCAACATGGATTTGAAAATCAGGAGCCAGTACCTATATACAACCCACATTCTAAAAAGGATTTGGTTGTGATAGATGCACAAAGTTGTTTGAATGCATTTGCCATCATGCACGACAAAGCTCTGAAGTCCCCAAACATCAATGGGGCAAAGCAGTTTGTGCATTTATGTCGCCTATTTGTTCAGTTTTCGTGACAAGAGTTGTTGGCAGTGATGTCTGAACACCCACACTTATGGCCAGCATCTTGTAAACTACACTGCATTTTCATGCATTCAATCGTGAATTTAATTATCATAAACCCTTACTTTCCACATTACAGAATTCTTGAGAACTTTTCTGAATCAACTGCATTTCAGTAATACCAGTCAGTATTCCGAGAAATAACCAAAAAAGTTTAAGGATTTTTTACAATAAGAGTTAGTGTTTTTTTAATAGTGTTCCACCACGTTTTAAAAATTTAGAGTCAGTCAGCAGGAATTTGACACAAGGGCGAAATAAATATTCAGAAATTAAGAAATCTGAAAATCTTCAAGACTAAAACTTGAGCACTAACACCATAACATATAGACAGACTTCACCCACTAACTCACATAACACTTGTACACATTGTAATTTATTGAATCACTTTATTTGGAACAAGTGACATCTATTACAATCTACAAAGTCCTTAAAATTTAAAAGTCAATAAACGACTACCTTACATGGGTTAATGATCACATAACCTTAAAAAATCTAGCTTTCAGCCAAAAAGTTTAATTTCTAGTCCTCAGTTTGTGTCCGTGCATACTCACTCTCATAAACCTACAAATATTTCATCAATAAGGGTTACAATTTAAGATGACAGTACTTCCTTGTTCCCAGAGGCGTAATCAAAATTAAGCATTTAAAACAATTCAGGATGATTCTGACAAAATAGTGTTTACAAATAATTGACATTCTCCAATTGCCCAAGACAACCTTGCATGTTATTGAGCCCAAAATTTACTATCCAGCATTTCAGATTTATGTCACGATTTTGTTATACAAGGGAGTGAGATACAGACAAATTTTCGTATTTATGAACACCTGACTAACGTAGAAATCACAATTACAGTGAATGGTAATTATTGAGGATGATGAAAAACCCAATAAATATACAATGAAACAAATAAAACTCATCACAGAAACCACCTCAGAATTCTCTCCTGTGGTATTTGTCTGGGTCACAAAAAGAGGTTACCACAATTCGGTTGTTGAACTTTCGCCCTGCCAAAGCAGTTTGTGCTTTCTGGGATTCCAGTACATTGGTAAATTCAACAAAAATCTGGAAATAAAAGAACAGCACTTGTTAATTCTGCATAGCTTGGTAAGTTGAGATTGTGTACATTAAATCTGACATTTTTGTTTTCATTATTTGAATAGGTGTACAGCTATCAGACAAACGATGGCTAATTTCAAGAAATTCAATGCAACACAAGTAATATTTTATCATAATTCACATCAAGCATTTATGCACATCCTATTTGTATTACATGAACATGTGTACAATTATTAACAACATGCCAGATTGCAATAGTTCTTACCTTTCCACATCCTGGTACTTCAACACCTTCAATGGGTCTTGGAATTTCCAAACTTCTTACTTGGCCATATTTACCACATTCTTGGCGTACATCATCAAGGATTTCTGAAATTAAAAGTTCCGCCAAATGATGAGCACTAATGTTAAGCAGCCTATAACAGACTCGTCTGTACTAGTAAAACAATGTGGCACTACGAGTTTGTTTGGAAATGAATTCACAATATGTACATTGCCAAAAACGTATCTCAGATTCCAACATTAACTTGCTACAATACATTAATAACACAAAGTTATTGAAACAAATTCAAAGCAGATAGAAAATGTGAAGATTTAATCTACAGCAAGTCAGAAATTAAACTAAATTATCTTTCCCAAAAGCATGGGGTATGATTGTTAGAGCTGGTGGACCAAATGACCAAGCTGATGTTAAAGGCTGTGTAAACAGAAGTGAATGATTACAAGTCATAACTGAATATTACTTATCCAAGAACTTGTCAGTTTAAAAAATGATCTGATACAGATTACCAAGAACATAATGCATAATTTTGGCACTTCCCTGATCTTCCCTCATTGATGCACATATATTTGATCCCTAAAAATTCTACATTCTTAATAGATTTACAACAGCAAACATGTTCACCCCCCTAGAGAAACCTAAATATATTTCTTACCTTCATATTCTTCCTCATCCTGCAGCTCATCCGGTGTTACCATATTCATCAGGCACAGCACTTCAGTAGTTGGTCCAACAAGTCCTTGTCCAATATTGACACCGGGAACTTGAATATTCAGCTGCGCTATCATTTGCTGTGAAGGCATTGAACAATTTATAGATTTAACATACATTGTACATCATGGAACTTGTAATGATTGCATGCAGTTATAAAATGTACGCGATTGGACAGATAATGGTTTTGTGATATAACAGGAGGTAAAATAGGGTAACACTGCAACCCTGAGGGTACAAATTTGTGCTGAACACTGGCACACAGCTAGAAAAAGTGAAGTAGGGCAGCTGCTGACCTCTCCATTTACACACCACTCCTCAAAAGGTAAACATTTCAATTTTAAAAGCCTTACCGCTGTTTGTGCATTCTTGGCACCCACGCTTGCTCGTTGTACAATCAGCTTTTTGTCACCTAACTGCATACCATTCAAACCTGCAATTGCCTGCAATATATGATAGTGTCAGAAACCATGCACATGGTATGAAAAAAATCCATCTTGAGTTAACAGTTGATGCAAATGTCAATGCATACAGCCAACTTACCTGGTCTGTGATTTTCTCATCAATATATTCACAGAATGCATAACCTTTGGAAAGAGATGTGGCACTGTCCTTCACTAAATTGAATGCTTTTAATTCACCAAAAGAGGTCAGTAACTCTTTAACCTGAAACCAAATATAAGCACATCTTTAATTTTTAATGGCAACTGTGGCCAAGTTCAGAATATTCTACTTCCAATGAAAGCTATAAATGTTTGGAGAATTCATCTCCTTTCCATGATTAAACTATTTTTTTTTGGAAGTGATATGACATTTATTATTAAGTAAAATGTTTTTACTTACTGTCATTACTGCAATACATTCCACACATCTGTATAAAACAAAGACTGGCTGAGTAAAAGAAATCCACCCATTCTCACACAAATTCATTTGCCTTTCTTTTTAAACACCTTAATCCAAAAATAACATTTTTTTTACAGCCACCACTATTTCTCACTTATTCAAAGCACACATAAACACTCAACTCGCATCAAGGGGAAGAACCCAGCCTAACATTAACAAAATTACCTGCCCAGGTCAGGTCAGTGTTACTGATTTTCCTGGTGTCAAGGTACTACAACCCACCAAGATGTTTAAAATATTGATCAAATTGTACAACCACAAAAATAATTTCACTATTTACGGTAAAAGCCAAGTTAACTGAAGGGAGATTCCTCACTGTTGTGCTGTCTCAAAATAAAAATATTCCACACAATTCAAAAACACAAGACTGCATGCATACAACCAGTGTTCCACATTTTTTCAATTTAGCTGCTGAAATTTGCATTTAACTTTAATTGTTTAGCATTTTGTAAGAATTAATAAAATATAAAGCTGTTGCTTAAACAATCTTACACTAGATGGAACAATGGTGTGTACAGCAATAACAGTTAAATGCGAGATTCAAAAAGGTTAGAAAATTATTCATTGCAACAATGTACTGCTCTCCACAGACAAGTTAATCCAATCCAATTAATTCAACTGCACCCAAATAGAACTATTGCATGTTTTTAAATAATGTATTTTTTTTTTGCAGTCCAGGTTAATAACATGTATAGTACCTTTGCTCCATTACAAGCACTTCTACAATAGAATTATAGACAACTTAAGCACATATGCTACCAACTAATAAAACAAATACAACAACCATCTTCAAAAGTAATTGCACTTCATGGGTACTGTAACTACTGGTCACTGCATATCAGACAACTCAAGTAGCAACCAATAATTATGTGCCTATGTAACACAAATAATTTAAGTGTGCACGGAAATTATGCAGTTTAAACAAGGAATCCTTTACAAGAGGGCAGATACCCATACCACATATGCTCTTTGGTCGTGTACGCAACAAATGACAATAGTGTCTGTTATGATGTTTTAGCATACAATAAATGCAATTTCAGGTTTATGTCTGCTTCTATTAGTTGCACTTTTAAATGAATTGACAGCAGTCTATGGAAAGCAGTCATCACAATTAAAGCAATTTGATTAAAATTGAAACTACACTAATAATTCATGAAATTTGTGGTTACAGCATATATGAGATTAATTTTGGATTTTCTGACGAAAATCCTGATATTCAAAAGCGTTAAAAATTGAGACAGCACAACAGAAAAAAAACATCTTACAGCACAGCACAGCACACCAAATCAGATTCATGAATTGCACAAAAGATGTACATAAAACACTACTGTCATTTTCATGCATTCTAAAAATTTAACACTCGAACATACATATATACACACACACACACACACACACACACATGTCGAACACGCACTCCTGAAGAACCAGACATTTAGTCCACTTGGTAGATCAGTTGAACTGGCAGGGCTTTCTAATGGCATCATATAACAAACCCAATCTTCCACGTCATAAATCAGTGCTGATTGTAACTTGCCTGATATCACCAACAGTGGTTGTAGAGTCAAGTAGAACATTCACAACAATTTTAGGACAAGCTGGGATAGACTATTTTATCCCGGACCCCTTTGCTAGGGAATAAAATGAGTGGAGAGAAGCAAAAGGAAATGGGAAAAACATAACGTAAGTATTGTTTTTTGACAAATTAAGTTTTAAATGTCACAAATTTACACAATGCTTTTTTTAGAAGTTTTATTTTCGGTGATATAAACTAGAAACTAGCATACACAAGAAATGCGTCTTAACCTTAGATACGAAAAAAATCCAAAAGAGATTCACAAAGAAAATTTAAATGACCACTCTTGTTAGGCTGAAACCCAAATTTTTAAGAAAAACACAGGAGACCTAAAAAATAAAAACACCTGAAAACAAGTGGGGCGAGAAAGATGCGCTGAAACATAAAGGGGGGAAAATGCTGTGGGGAGAAAAAGCCTGAAACAAACCTGCTAAAGCAAAAACCCGGACAATCTGAAAAACACTGCTGTAAAAGAATTCTCTTTCTTCAGTGGATGCTATTACCAAGCCCTACCATTCAAAACCTAAATATGCCTTGTAAAAACAAAGACAACATTCACAAACAAGCATTCATACCTGTACAATAGGGAGGGGGGAAGAGGACTCAGCTTTCTGCGGGGTGCAGTGTCTGAAACTGAAACAGACATGAAGAACAGTTAAATAGCAAGCAACAATCATGTTGCATATACACATACCTGATCTTCATTGAGGTAGTTTGGCAACCCACCAATGAATATTTTATGGGGGGAATCCGGTACAACCGTTGATACAACACCTGTTGGAGAGAATAGATAATCTTAGATGAATCAAGCATTTGGAAGATTAAAAAAAAATGTGTCAAAATTGTGCTTTTTTCCCATTTTAATGATATATTTGATAATTTTGCATGATATTTACAGTTTCCAACAACATTCAATTAGAATCTCAATAAGAACAAGCAATAAACGCGCATGAATTTAGCTCAAACTTTATACAGATAATATCATTCCAAAAAATATGATAATTTGACTTGAAATGGGCATATTACCTGGAACATGTACACTAGGCATTTCTGCCATACCAGGAACTGGCTGGTAATCTTTGGGACGCCTTATTTTCAATGATTGCCCTTGGAATAAAATACCATCAAAAGCCATGGCTTGGGTGGTTTCGTCTACTGAACGGAACTATAGATGAAAGTTATGTTGGTTACCATTTAAATGTTTTTACTAATGTTGAGTGTGGCAGAACATATCAAAATCACTGAGTTTCATTGAAATACTATTATTAACTACATTCTTGTCACTGACTAATCATCATTCCCTACCCACTCCCACCCCCACGCACCAAGTAAATTTATTGTTTTCCCCCAAAGCAAATTCATTGTTTCAAAAGTAAGTAGCCTAAACTATACTGCATTGATCATTCACTGTAATCTTTTTACATTATGTGTTTAATACAAACTAAGGGTTGTAACATTATTATACAAAATCAGTTAATATAACTTCTACTGTATAATCAGTGTATATGAATGTTTATAATGCATCACATAAATTGTAAAGCTTTGAGAGGTACACATAGACAAAGTTGGGGCTTCAAAATGTTGCAGCCAAATCAACATTGCAGAAGAGCTACTGCTTATCCTCTATTATCGTAAAATCAGTATTAGAAGCTGCAAATCTAATAGAAGCTGCAAATCTAATAGAAGTTGCACCCATTTTTTTTGAAGAAAAAAAAAAAAAAAAAAAAAAACAATTTCTCATTTGTGTAGATGTTCTAATAGAAACCGCATCCCCTCTGATGCATTGTACCATTTTAATAGAAACCACAACTTCTACAGATTTTATTGTAAAAGGACAGTATCCATGACTTTGACCAAAAGATAAACGAAAGATAGTGAGAAAAGTGTCCATGGTGCAGTGGAAGATACCACTTGCAATATTTTACCTGCTGGTGTGTGAATAAGGACAAAAATTCTCTCAGTAGCACAACATTCATGATATGAACAACTTTATTTACTGGACAAGGTCATGCACACAATCAGACTTTATGTCAGATAATGGATATAAATGAACTACTGAAAAAAGTTTACCTCAAGAAATGCAAAATTCTTGTTTAAATCAATCTGTACTGCTAAAACTGGATTCCCTTGTGCCTGGGTAATACGGAAACTTTTCATTTGCCTGTTGAAGAAATCCATCATGGCTTCCTACAATGGAGTAGATACATTCAAGAATTTAAAAATTTCACAGTGACATTCTTTACACCTGCCAGGGATCCCCTGCTTCATATTTACCAATTAGCCAAAGGCTAAATTTATTGATAAGTGGCTGAACAAAAAATGAATTTGGCAATTTACTTTACGTAATACTTTTATATTGTGCTCCTGAAATTCATGACGACACCGACTTGACCAGTATGGTAGAAATTTTGTTCAACCAGGATTGTTAATATAAAAGGCACAGGGTGTACCACAAGTTATTTGCAATCAAAATCTTCTCAAATGACAAGAATTTGAGGGGATAGTACACAAAAATGATGAATGTAATATGGCCCTGGGAATATTAACATGCAACAAGACGAGTATCGAGTAGGAAAATTCTATTGACAATTATTATAGAACTTGTAGGAACTTTATTTTTGCTCTATTAGAAGCAAATCTTTATTAAAGCATATTTACTGCAAACTGCATCTTTAAAATGAGACTTATTTTTGTCACAGACACGCTATGTATGTGTCTATGCAAGTGCATTCCAATACTGACTAACAATAGTATACAATAGATATGTACCTCAGTAACGCCAAATGGAATATTGCCAACATAAAGCCTCCTGGCTTGTCTCGTCATCTGACTTCCAACAATCGGCATATTCGAGTTGGCAGCAGCCTGAGCCATTTGGTTTTCTAGAGCAGTTTGTGGAATCTGTCCTGCACCTGGAAACAAGACCAAAAATGCTTTAATGGCTAAATGTATGACCCAATAAACAATATGTTGGGATTAAATACTTTATTTTTAATGTTTCACACAGGGGCCCCCACATTATACCTACCCTACTACACATACATTTTATTTATTATATCATGAACTTGTATGCTATTAACTATACTTCATTCAAAATGCTCTAGGTATTGAGAATAATATTTATAATACTCACACAAGACCAGTCAGTATTCACCAGAAGCAATATGAAAAGGAAATTTAAGAAAATTATTGATCTAAATGTTGATGAAGAATTCTTAAAATTGATGCTCTGGTGAATGCGACTGGGCTTGCATGGTTATGGAACAGCAATGACACAAACATGGTGAAATTCAGACAACACAAAATTCCTTTTACATTCAATTTTTCATTTTAATTACTTCATTGTGAGTTTGAAGTGAAAAATGAGCATTTTACTTATTGTGCCTGTAAATTCTTTATTAGGACAATCTCGTACTTTTTAAAAAGAAGGATTTCAGACAGTACACTAATAACAGGTTAATGTCTTACCTTGCATTGCTTTATACTGTAAAGGTGCTATATGTTCAAAACCAGGTGGAGGAATATCCCAATACATGAATGGTTTCTTTCTTTTCGGGCGTGCTGATCTAGATGGTGGTGTACGACTAGTGAAACAAAATTCAACAAGTCATTTCAATGAGAGTCACATTCTCGGGAATCATCATGTCAGAGAAAATGAAGCTAATATGAATTCTTAATTGCCTGCGATCAAAACACATTGCCTGCTGCCCAATTCAATTCATTTCACCTATCTGAAGGTTTTCAGAAGGTAATGCGTTAACCATGAAGATAGGAAGGAGGAACAAGGGCCAGTAATAGAATTTGAAACCGTGTTTCGAGCACTCACAATTGAGCACTAATTATCATTGTATCACTGACTGTTTTCGTGTATTTACAAGTTCTCTTGCATAGTCGCATTTTCAGTGGACATCACCACATGCAACCATAATTCATAAGCAATCAAATTTTAAGGTAAGAGTTCCTTAAGACCACTCACCCACAACTCTAACCCTGCCCCTCCAGTGTCCCACCTCCCTTTAATTGTATATGCCCCTCTTCAATATGGTTATCCAGAGGGGCATATACAATTACAATGGGAGGGCTCAAGTATTACGGTTAGGGTTCAGGCTAAGGCCTTAAAGTGCCTGTGAAATGGCTGCTATTTTCACGCCTAAAATTAACAATTGATACATAAATATTATTAATTTTTATGTTTCTAAGCATGAATTATTTTTTTTAAGTGAAAAAATGTGTTTTAAACTCAGTCTACGGCAACTTTATTTTTGTATATTTTAAAACGAGGCTCCTCATTAGCTTCATTTGCATACAGAAATTCCCCTTGTGACGTCAGAAGGGGAAGTCGCAAGGCAGCTTGCATTGCTGATACATGTAAATAAGGCAAATTTCTTGTGCAGTTTTCTCAGCTTTGACTATATTGTCACTTATGTACTTGTTCGTCGAGGAAGAATGGACCATAATGAACACATGGTATCAATTTTTGTTGGGCTGAGTAAGATGCAAAATATGTCCGTTCTGGTGTAGCTGGTCACCTTGATCGTCACCGACACCGGCGCACGTTTGTACACTGTCGCTGGACAAAATAGAATTTGACGTCGGTATTATCTTGTTATTTAGCAGGTTACTAGGCACGTCACTACACTGTTTTATTTCATCGATCGCCTGAGTAAAACTTTCAAAATTAAAATAAAAGAACATATTTTGACATTCTAAACATTAGACTATAGTGATCACTATCAAATAATTAAAAAAACGACAAATCACAGTTACTAAATAAATGACAACCGCACGGAAATAAATTGACATTTTGTTGAAATAGGTGAACGCGTCGGGTCATGGCGAGGGCAAGTGCGTTAAAAGCGGCGTTTAATTGGATAACAAAAATAATCGAGATCGACACACATACAGATAAATTCAGAGTGGATTCGAGTTAGCGCGATCCATGGCGTGATTGTCATAATTATAACATTGTATTAAAACTTCATTTGGTGGAAACACATCGACCAAGCCCGAATTCTTATTTCATAAATTATTACGCAGATCAAGCTGCAAGCATGGAGGTAAAAAAGAACAGAGGTGTGAATTCGACAATCAACACCAATCACCAAACAATTCAGAAACTTTTAGCCTTCCAAAATGAAAACAGTTAGCAGTGTGTAAGGGCTGTGTAATTTCCTGCGTTTTCGTGTCACTGTCAAAATTATTGCCACCTTTTACTTAACAGGGACTAAATGGTCTCTATAAAACGATAATCAGGATCGCAAAAAAAGTCAACTGATTTGAAACACTTGCCGGGCGTCTCTGTTCTGAAATCCGCCTCGATCATGGGCTGGTCCGGAATCTTTCTTTCAAAAGTGTTGCGCCAGGTTTACGTTGTCGGCGTTTCTCTTTAAACCTAGTCGTTTTTTTATGGACGAGGACAGTTGAACGAATCTAAGGTTAAGTGATGTCGCACCTTCGGATCGATTAGAAACGTGTGAATACATGCACTATGGCTATACGTTTCACTGCAACTGCCCACAACACAACATCTAAAAACTCTCTCTCCCAAAAAAAATAAAATAGACAAAAAAAAAAAAAAGAAGAAAAAACGTAAATGTATATCTTTTAAAAGTATACTGAACGACCAGACCAGTGTTATTACGGCTCAAGGGTATGACTTCCTCTCACATTTTGTCATTTGGTGGCGCACTTTCGACGAGAGTTGGAAATCCGGAAACAGTCTACTGTTTCACGATAGGTGGGCGTGGCTACAACACGAGAAATATCCCAAATTTACTTGGATACGAGTAATCATTTTCAGCAAAAAAATCCCTTTTCAGTGGGACACAGATCTAAAATGGAAAACGTGAGGGTGGGCATTGCACAGGCACTTTAACTCTTTCTATTTAATCGATTCAAGAACATCATTACCCAACTAAAATGCAGAATAGTTACACTGTAATAGAATAGCTTAACCCTTTTCCGATCAAGTCTGTGAAAAACCGCCATCAATATGGGTATGCTAGAATTTACCACTCCAGCTAGCTAACTGGTTAAGTCGTTGAAAAACGGCCTGCTATTTAGGTTGCTCAGACGGTCAAGCCTTTATAATACGTTGTACGGAACCTGATATTTTACACTTACAAAATTATGGAGGGAGAGAATTTGTTTTCGATTCCGTCAAGTCAAATAAATTAACCAAGTAATAAAAAATGTAATTCTATACACTTGTCTGCTCATTTCACTATTTTACCGTCACAAAGCGACGTTTGCGACGACGTAAAAACAACGCCTTGACCACATTGCAAACTGCAGCATTACAACCGTATTTGAACGATACGATTCACGATTATAACGGTAGTAACATATTATGACCAGCTTGGCAAATAGTCCCGGCACTTAGAATGAATAGCATGACGGATTCCAACGACTGAGCTTGGAATGTCGGCAATCACTAACGTAAAATTACCGCGACAGCTGGTGGGAAATATTCAAGTCCATGTGATTTTACCGTCTGAGCTAGCATATGCAATTTTATGTGTATGCAAATTGGAACCAATCCGTCTTCGAAAAAATAACATTTATTTACATAATAAATATTCAAATTGTGGGGAGATGCAGTCTTGTGGACATCTGGTCGTTCAGTATAAATATGGCCGAAGAAATAAAGCCCAGACTCGCTGTGTGCCTCCTTTCTGACACGTACGTTAATATGCCGTTCTATACAAATAGGAAGTGTTTTATGAAGGCAAGAATGAAACTGAAGAAAACGCGTCAATTGTGCAGTGGCACGGGGAGTGATAAGTTTGACATTGACATGACAGATTTTTCACCAGCAAAACGTGGAAAAAGAAAGAAATCCAAAGCAAAGGAAACATTTGACGTCGGTGAGTTACCAGCCAAACGTACCACGGACACCAGTGATAATAGTCCACTCAAGAAAAGGCATAAAAAGAATAAGAACAAACGCAAGTCGGAGACTGTCTCCTCTGTCAATGAACATGCGATTACAGAAGAAAGCCATTTGAAGGACTGCAGGGGCAAACTAGGGGGCAAACCAGGAGGCAAACTTAAATCGAAGACGAACTGTAAAGTGTTTGAATCGCCAGCTGCCGACAAAGCAGATGCTGAAGAAACGGAAGTTGGTCATGCTGAAATACAACGTGCCGTCGAAGACGTGATACAATTTTTGCAAGACAATGTTTGCGATTTGGAACAGTCGACATCTGCTGCCAACGCAGAAAAGCAGGGGCCTGAACATATCGACCCAGCGAGTACGCAACAAAACGTCGATGTCACCAAAGAAATGGTACAAGAAAATGTATGTGATGCAGAAAAACAACACTTGCGAGTTTCCCCGAAAAACAAATTATTAAAAAACGTGTTGTGTATGCACACGCATCGCCAATGGACACGCGTGAGGATGAACTTGTATTGGACGAAAAAACGGGTGAGCTACGACACAAAATACCACATGACTTCATAGTTGCAAATGACGATACAGATTCAGAAATCGATGAAGATCGTGCTGAAAATGACAATTTTTTAGAGCAACTTTACCCACCTGTACTCGATAGCGACATTGAAATTGAATCCGACAAAGAAATTGGTGCTAGATTCGATTATGTTGCCTCCAGCACTGGTGAATGGAGAATGGCCACGGAGGAAGACGGCGATATATTTACTATTCCAGTTTTTGAACATGAACCTGGACCAACTTTCGAACTGCCTTCATATGCTCGTGAGGTGGAATATTTCTACAAATTTATCCCACCAGAACTGATAGAACTGGCTTCCATCAAGACTAATAAATACGCCAAATATCATCAAAAATGCATTGCAAAA